TCAGCTGCTCTTGGAGAAGGATGGTCAATCTCCTCCTGTGAGATTACTGACTCTGAAAACTCACTATACTGTCAGGTATGGGTAGGTTCCAACTCTAACTTACACAACAAAAAGGCAAGTCTTTAACTCAAGATTTGCAATTCAAGGATTGAATTTCATCTCAAATTCTTTAAGCCTGGGAAATGCTGAGTATGTTGATCCCCTTTGATTTTCTAACTCCAAATTCATTTTAATACTATCCACTGTTTTCTTGAATTACGCTTTTAAAATCTTCTGTTCTCCTCTTTTACTTCATCTTTGTTTTGGTTTCTAGGTTGAGGTGCAAGTTTCAGAAGTCTCTTCTGACACCCATTTTGGTTTTTCCTTTCTCCACTATCTTTGTAATGATCTCCTTTCTTCTTGGATGATGTCCTTGGTGTCATCTCACAATTCATCTTAAGTTACTAGTGTACAACATACTAAATCTACTTGACATAGTTTTTAAATGCAAGAAGGATAAACTTAAAGGCCATATTTAAACCCTTGTGGACTTTTCATTTTCTCATACTTAATTCTAATTTGCATGTGAGTAACTGATCATTTGATCCATCCAGTCAGCCACTGACCTTATTCTGACTGCCAATACTGAGCTTCTCTGCTATCTCTTCCCAAACATGTAGTCAATCTGATTCCTCCTATATACCATCAGGTGAGGTCCATGTGTCTGTTGTTGTTACGTGCCGTCGAGTCGTTTGTGACTCACAGCGACCCTATGCACAACAGCCCTAAATCCTGCTCTATCCTGTACCAATCGCATTGCCTCTGACGCACCCATCCTGATTACCCCAGTCACTGAATAAATCCACCTCATAAAGGGTCTTCCCCTCCTGCGCTGTCCCTCCACCCTACCAAGCAAGATGCCCCTCTCCAAGGACCTGTCTCTCCCTTACAACATGTCCAAAGTATGTCAAACGAAGCCCCAGAATCCTTGCCTCCAAGGAGTGGCCTGGTTTAACCCTCTCTAGGATGAATCTCTTTGTTTTCTCGGCAGTCCATGGTATATTCCATACTCTTCTCCAGCACCACAGCTCAAAGGCGTCAATTCTCCTTCTATCCTCCCTAGTCATTGTCCAGCTCTCTGATGCATAACAAGAGATTGCAAAAACCATGGCCTGTTTCAGGCACACCTTAGTCTCTAGAGAGACACCGTTGCTCTTGGGTACTTTAGAGAAGTCCCTAACAGCAGACTTCCTCATAGCAATATGTTTTTTGATTTCCTGGCTGCTGGTGCCAAGAGTGTTGACCATGGAGCCGAGCAAACTGAAGCTGTGAACAATCTCAATCTCTTCGCCATCCATCCTGATGCTGCCAATTGGTCCAGTGGTGAGAATCTTTGTCTTCCTGACATTGAGCTTCAGTCCATACCGAAGACTGCAGTCCTTGACCCTCTGCAGCAAGTGCATGATGTCCTCCTCAGTTTCAGCGAGCAGGGTTGTGTCATCTGCATAACACAGATTATTGATAGATCTTCCACCAATCCTAATGCCACGCTTCTCCTCATAGAGCCCAGCCTCTCGGCTAATCTGCTCTGCATACACGTTGAAAAGGTATGGAGATAGGACACATCCCTGGCGTACACCCTTCCCAATTTTGAACCATGCAGTGTTGTCCTATTCTGTTCTGACAACTGCGTCTTGGTCCAAGTATAGGTTTCGCATTAGCACAATTAAATATTCTGGGATTCCCACTCTTCTCAGAGTCAGCCACAGTTTGTTATGGTCCACACAGTCAAACACCTTTGCATAATCAATGAAACACAGATAGACATTCTTCTGGTATTCCCTGCTTTCAGCTAAGATCCATCTGACATCAGCTACAATATCCCTAGTACCACGACCCCTTCTAAATCCAGCCTGGACTTCTGGCAGTTCTCTGCTAATATACTGTTCCAGTCGTTTTTGGATAATCTTCAGTAGAATCTTGCTTACATGTGAAATATATATTGTTTCCACACTCTGTTGGGTCACCCTTCTTTGGGGTGGGAACAAATATAGATCTCTTCCAGTCAGTTGGCCAAGTGGTTGTTCTCCAGATTTCTTGGCACAACTTGGTGAGCACATCCAGGGCAGCATCTGTTAGCTGAAACATGTCAATTGGTATACCATCTATTCCTGAGGCCTTATTTTTTGCTATTTCCTTCAAAGCAGCTTGAACTTCTTCCTTCAACACCATAGGCTCTTGCTCAAATGTTATTTCATTAAATTCGTCTGTATCCACCAATTCCATCTTCTTTTGATACCTCCTGGATAATTTAATATTCTGCCTAAAGCATCCTTGATTACAGCAATACAAGGTTTGAGTTTGTTCTTCAGTTCCTTGAGCTTAAGAAATGCTAAACGAGTTCTGCCCTTTTGATTTTCTGACTCTAGCTCCTCGCACATTTCATTGTAATGTTTTGCTTTGTCACTCCGTGCTGCCTTTTGGAATCTTCTGTTCAGCTCCTTGGTGTCCTGAATTCTTCCTTGTGGTTTGGCTTCTCTACGTTCCAGTGCAATCTTCAGAGTTTCTTCTGACATCCATTTTGGTTTTTTCTTTTTGGGTAATCTTCAGCAGAATCTTGCTTGCATGTGATATTTTTATCATTATTCATTTTAATGAAAGTTTACAGAGACTGAGGATTTCCATTCATTCACTGTTGCACTTTTTTCCCTAGCCATCCCCTCACCCCCCAAGTCGTTCTTCTTTTTGAAAAGTAAAAGAAAAATTCTTCCATTGTTATACAATCCCTCCCCCCAAGCCCACTCACTATGCAGCTTTCATTCTGGACTCCTGTCATGACAATAATACCTAATCACATACCCCTTTTTAAACAGTTTTCTCCCTCATCTGTTTCAATGCAGTATCCCATCTTTCTCAGTCTCCCCCCAACACCAATGTCAGTCCTATTTTACAACAGTGGCACTATGAAGTGTTTGTCCTTTTGTGACTACAATATTTCACTCAGCATAATGTCTTCCAGGGTCAGCCATTTTGAATAATATTGCATGAGTTCCTTATTTTTCAATGCAGTGTAATATGCTATTGTTTGAATACACCACAGCTTCTCTATCCATTTGTTTGTTGATGGGCACTTAGGTTGTTTCCAGCTCTTTGCTATTGTGAACAAAGCCACGATAAACATGGGTGTGCATATATAGCTGCTTGGGTGGCAGTTATTGTCTCTTCGGGGTATATTTCCAGTAGAGGAATTGCTGGGTCAAATGGTATCTGTATTTGCAACTTTTTGAGAAAGCCCCACACCGCCTTCCACAGTAGTTGCACCATTTTACACTTCCACCAACAGTGAATAAGGGTTCCTGTTTGTCCACAACCTTGACGGCATTTGTTGCCTGCTGTTCTGTTAAATATTGCTATTCTGACTGGGGTGAGATGATATCTCATAGTTGTTTTGATTTGCATCTCTCTTAGAGCTAGGGATTTTGAACATTTCTTCATGTG